TGAAGTCGTTAACAAAGATCAAATAATAGGGTAGATTTTTGCCCAGGTATGGGATACTATGGATGGATGAGAGGACCTATCAATCATCATTGAAGACAGCAAAGGTCAAAATATGTAGCAAATAAAATTTGCCACAACTTGCACTTCCTCAACATATGAAAATCGCTCCTCTTAGAACTCGTCCCTAGAAAAGACAATAATGTCAAAGACATAAGATAGGAGCCCCGGCGGAAGATTTAGAATGGCGTATGAAGTTCTTTGCCAAATTCTCATCAAAATACTCCTTTAATGCAACCAATTCATTATCCAATAAGCTATAGATTGGTCCGAATGGTGGTTGAGCTCTTTCTTGTGGATCAATTGAGCAATCATAAGATCGATGTTTGAAAAGAATATTTATATTATTCTTTTCAAAAACGTCTTGGAATTCTTGATATTGCTTAGGAATACCACTCGATGTTGTTTCACCATTAGAAATGGATGTAGCATATATAGCAAAAGGTGATCTTTCTTTTACAGCATGCATGAAGGCTTTTGCACCTATTAGTAAAGGTTTGGACATACTAGACTTACATACTTCTACTTTGCTAATACAATCTTGGATTAAACTCTCATCTCTCAAGATTATAATTTTCAAAGTTAATATATTCAAAAGATCAATAATTTTATTTTTATTTATTTCTTTCTATATAATTTTACTTATTTAATTTTATATATTAGTACTCATTACTATTTATAATATTTAATATATGCATATTTTATTTTTTAAGTTTTTAAAGATGATTTAAATATCAAAAACGTGGATTATACATTGGTCCTAGGTTTCACATTGTGGCTACTTTTACTATTGGTTGTCGTTGATGCATACATATTAAAACCTTACTTTACAAGTGAGACATAAATCCAACAAATTAGACATGTTATGTGGCTTATAAAAAATTGATAAATAACTCTTTAGTTACATAGTATATGTAGAGCCAACAATGAGGCAATTTTTACTCTTTTCAATGCTTTTCTTGCTTCTAATTTAGATTATAGAATATCCAACATCTTATCTTTAGTACTAGTCATTTTTTATTTTTTTCTTATTATTTAAATTTTTTATAATCTTTTTCATTTTTATAATTTTTTTTTTTCATTACGTACATCTTGCTTTGTTTATTTACAAACTTTGAATTTTTATCTTTCACAGCATAAGTTTTGTATTTATAGTTAATTAATAACAAAGTAGTATCACAGACATATATATTTACCTCAATAGTTACTTATATGATTAAGTAGAAGTAGGTAAATATAGAATAATTTCATAAAGTCTTCTAGAGAAGCTTTCTAGAAGCTTCATAGACTCGGTTTTGACTTTATATGTATTTGTAGGTTAGAAATTTGGCCAAAAAGCTAACCATGTATTGGTAGCTTGTGGAACAAGTTACCTCCTTGTAGTAGCTTGTGGAACAAGCCAACTACGTGGCGCATACATAGATAACTTACCTTACAAGATAAGACATGTGGCTAGCAAAGTCAACACATATTGGAGGTCCTAGAGGACATTGCTATGTAGCTCTTAGTTAGATAGTATATATGGAGGCAAGAGTGAAGCCTTCTTCACTCTTATCAACGCCTTTCTAGTCTTAGTCTTGTTTCAAGTCTTCCTAATCTTTCTTGTTTTTGGCAATAGTCATCCTAGTTAATATTACATCACCATTTGAGTGACTTTCTAGTTCTCTTCAGTGATAGAAGAGTGTATTGAGGATTCTTTTTCTTTGAGATTCATATCCTTGACAAGTATTAATAAAAATTATAATTTTGCAATTGAATGAAGTACATTAATTACCAAAATTAGATTTTGATATAGTACATAAACTAAAAATTGAAATTATAAATAATAATAAAAAAAAAAAACTAATAACTATGTCTAAAGAATTGTTATAAACATATAAAGTAATAGAAAAATTATTTTAAATTGAATCTTAAATATTTCACTATATAATTTATAAAAAGTAGTGGCTATTAATAATAAAAAATAAAATAAGTCATAATATACAAAGCAACCATAGAAAATATTTAACTTAACTACTTCAAACTTTAAGTCCAAACTATCAATCACAATCTCTTTCAATTGCATTTAGTGCATCAATTAAATACAATATAAGATATACATTATTTACAATAGAAGCTTAATAAAAAAAAAAAGTTATACTATTTTAAAAAAATTAAACATAAAATAGTCAAATAAAATTTAAAATATATTTTTTCTAATAAAAATAATATTAATATTTTTTTAATATATATTTTCTAAAAAATAGAAATTTAAAAATTCAATAAAATCTTTAAAAAGAAAAAATCAAATATATATATTTTAAAACATAACAACTCAATGTTTGATAAAACAAATATTCTAAAGATAGAAAATATAGATATTTCAATACTAGATTATAATTTGATAGATATTTATATTAATAAAAAATATAAAAAAATAAAAACTACAATGATAATAAAAACCAAAGATAAATAAAAATAAAAATAAAAAACATAAAAATTCATTTTAAAAGACTTAAGATATTTAAACATGTTGGCATAAATTCAAAAGAAATTTTTATACATACTTGGATAATATAGCTTGTTGTATGGTATTTCTTATAACATTTTATAAGAAATTATTGATGCAAATTACAATATGTACAAACAATACAAAAATAAAGGAATTTTATTAAAAAACTAAGATAAAAAAACTTATTCTTAAAACTAAATGTTACAATCAATACTTTTAACATACAAAAATTCATATAATGTTTTTATAAAAGTCACCGTGTCCTTGGATTTTTTGTAAATCACTTCTATTGTATTATAAGTGTTTCCATGATTATCTCAAATTTAAATCAAAAACGAATATTCTTCTTCTTGCACATACAAACAAAGTAATTTTATTATTATTATTATTACATGAAAAGAGCTTTTTCCAATACCTCAATTCCTGATTAACTTAAGAATCATTAATCCAATAAAAATGGAAAATAAAATCCAAACATTAAACCATCACATTGTATAACCCACAAATGGTTCAAAAACACGGTCATCTAAAATGTTTACTTAATTTTTGGCTACCCCTGTTTGTTATTTACATTCATTACTATATTGCAAATGCTGCAGTTCAAGCGTTGTATGTTTACTAAAATACCCTTTTTAAATTAAGGTTGCTTCATTCAAAACTGTTTAGACCAGAAAACCGTTTACTAAGTGCGGGTGTTGTAGGTGGCATAGAATGTAACAAGCAAAAATAAGAGAGGATTCCTTTAGCACCTTGGAGAATATTGTGCACAGATCTTAGGATCCATAGTGAGAAATACTCACGATTGGAAGAGTTGCATTTCGCAGCGCTTTGGCCCGTCGATCAAGCCTTCCGATCTAGCAAGATCCCTCAATCCTGGGGATTGGACAAATCCACGCGACCCAAATGCAGGCCCTCCGCCCTCTTTGCTTTCCATTTGTAAGTTGCTGCTACAAGTATCCATCGCATTGAGCGGCCTCCTCGTATGCGCCTGTTTTGCTAGGGCATACACGAAGATTTTGCGTAGCATTAGATGTTCATTTGCGGTCCCTGCTGAATGGCCCTGCTGTTGACTTCTCTGTCGCTGGTCCACCGCCGGGTGCCTGTCGTTCGGCATCTTGGTGCTCTTTACCGTCCCGCGCGCGTGGGAACATACAAGCCCGGAAGTTGGGTAACTGCCCTTCTTGAATCATTTCGGGCCAGGTTCCTACAGTGACCAACAACCTCTCAGCACAGACCCCCACTGCCCGCGGCGTTCGCAGTGTAACGCACTTAACAAATCGAAACGAACAAGGCCTAGACCCAGGCCCAGCACCTGGGGCACAACACGCCCCCCCAATCGACTTTAAGAATTACAGCCTCCTCCACTCACATTGTTGCGTGAAGGCGGATGGCCCAGGTTCCTCAAGTTCCTCAATCCTAGCGTCCAGTGACTGGAACTGGCTCATCCCCACAGTGACCGAATTCGGAAGGAAAGCCACCGAGCGACTGGATGCCAGTGCTCCTATTTGATTTCATTCCTTTGTATACACAAATGCACAGTAGATAGTACACTAATCTTTACTCAATATATACAATTCTCTAGTGACAATCAGAGCATAACATGTTTCATGTTCTATCTCCTACACGCTGACGCTCTCCAGTTGCATCTCTTTCGAACTACTCTAGAACTCTGTCAATACTAGCTCTAATACAGACGATTGGAAAACCCTAGGTGTAACAGAATGGTGGATGTAGAATGTGTTTGGATGTTTCATCCAACAGCTCCCCGTCTGCTTGGAAGGTTCTTCTCCTTCGATACATCGCTTGCATCTTTCTGCATGATGGACCCAGTTCGCCCGTGGTGTCCTTTCACACATTTTTTATTCCTTATATCTGCCAAAACCAAGAGCATTTTCTCGGCGGACCGAGCATCCGGCAAATTCATACCGTCCATGTTACCGAACTAATTCAACGATGTCCAGCAGCCCAGCGGCCGACGTGTCAGTTGATCGACGGTCCTGCGTTATGCACATGCAGCAATGGGGATAGGTGCTCTCGCACGGCCGATCCTTCGACCACCGACAGTGGTCTCGCTTCTCAGAACATCAACGGCCAACTAAAAATGGAAAAAGAAGACCCTCGAGAATCGAAGGTATTCCAACGAGCAGGAGATCTTTCCGAAGTCTCGTACGCGATATCTTCCCATCATATTTCCTGGCGCGATCCGCGCTCTCTCGAATTTAGCGAATGGACGCTACTAAGTAGCCGGAATCTCTCGGCCCACGTAACTCCGGCGGTGGCGCCCCTCTTCTCTGCAACGGCATCTCCAACACTGTCACCGAGCAAGACGAGACAGAAGCATCTACTGCGGGGAATAGAATTACGTGTTTCTGGCATGCAGGGATTAAGAATTACGAAGGGTCTCCGGGACAGAAAATATATTCGCTACAGATGCTAACCAAGTTCCTTGGGATGAGTCGGAGGAAGCGACTTCCAACTGTAGTATAATAGAGCCGGGCCACATCGTTCCTCCCCATCTCATTTCACCAACTGCGGTGAACACGTGAGAAGCTTCTGCGCGAGTTCGACATGCCTGGCAGTCCCCCAATTAGCTCTCTCGACTGCCGCAGTTCGGATAGACTAGTGCCGCTGTCGACCAGTCCCTGCAGAACCAGCAACAACAGGAGCAACAGGAGCTGCGGTGTGGGTGGGTAGATCATTGGGGCATTTGATGATTGATGGGTACCTGGACTGCTCCAAGTAGCAGAACGTGTTCTATGATAGGCAGCTCGATTCCCACGCCCCCCACCGGTCGCACTCCGCACCTGCTTGTTTGGGATGCACTATCGCTGCCAAACCTGCAGGGCCGCGCACCGCCAGGTTCATGTTCTCGGTCAAACGTGAATCGAGATAACAGATTCGCGTCCTGCATAGCTCTCAGCTGGAGCGCCACATAAACCACCCTCGGCGAACTGCGACGTTGCAGTCACGCCACCCATTTCGATCGAGCGGCCTGCCCTCCAGTTGAGAGCATTCAGCGAGCTCTCGATCGAGTTGCAGGTACGTCGAGATGGAGCCCTTGACCATGGAGCCATCGAGGAAGTCCTCTTCGCGGAGGTCCAACGCCAGGAGGTCGTCGGCACGCATCCATGACTTGGCGATCACAATCCTCGAAGACGGCACGATTGATATGATGCCCGCCGTCGACATGGATCCCGCCGCTGCGGTCTACTTCGAGAAGGGAGCCGAGGTTTTACTCGGCAAAGAGATACCTGGTATGCGTCGACTCACTTGCGTGCATGCACTGTCTGGGCAAGGGATATGTAGCTTCGCCGTAGCATTCGATTATGTCGCTTTATCGTTTCCAGCTTAGACATGTGCGATCGCAGGAAGGTCCAGCCGATCAGCATCCGACTTGTCATGAAAATGCTATGATGCCGGTCAAAGCAGATGCACTGCCGGTGTGCATGTACGATTCACTAATTTACAGTCGTCGATAGCAGCGAGTGAGAGAGAGCGAGGACCAGGAAGGAATGGGTGTTCCACCAAACATGCACACCACGCCGATGCAACACCGGATGAATTGACGTAGATACACTGGCTTTCTTATCCAATCCAGTCCAATCCCATCTGCAGGATACAAGCTACTGTCGTAGCGGTCTCTAATTCCAGGTAGCCATTCGGACAGTGATCGAGTCGAACCATGTCATGCCAGGAGTATTACGAACTAATTGGTTGTCGGTCGTTTGCCAATCTTGCCGTCCATGCAGTCACGACTCCGCCTCCCGCTAAAGACCCCCCAAAGTCGACGAAGTCGACGAGATCGGACAAGTCACGCCTCGCGGTGCTCCTCAAGGAGCAGGACTGGTTCAGCATATACAAGCGCTTCGCCGCAATCAGTTTCCTCACCAACGTGGTTCTCTTCAGCGTCGCTGTCTCCGGGCACTGGCCTTGTGCGCGCGACAACGCAGCCCTGCTCTCTCTCGCGAATGTGGTCGTGCTCAGCCTGTGCAGAAACGAGGTAACACCGGCTGACCACTTCGTCTTGTGTCCCGCTTCTTCGTGTGAATGCATGCCCACCGCGTGATCCATGACACCCTACCGTCCGCTTGCAAGTCCAGCAAACGCACCCACGAAACAGCAACGGGCGGGGTTGCGTATGTACGCTGTGCCGGTTTTCAAATACAGGCGAGCTTCGCAGCCATGAATTGACGTGACCCTTGCGACAACTCTTGCAGGTCTTTCTGCGGATGGTGTTTTGGCTGACGGTGCTACTGTTCGGGCACTCCTGGGTTCCGCTCAGGCTCAAACTGTGGATTACCCACGCCCTCCAGAACTTGGGCGGCATCCACGCCGGGTGCGGCGTCGCTTCCCTTCTGTGGGCAGTGTATGCTCTGGCGTGGCTCGCTGAGCACATCCACCGAGTTCCCAAATCCTCGGTCGCCATCCTGTCGGTGGTGTTCGTCCTGCTTCTCATTTGTTGCCTTGCGGCATGCCCCTTGGTCAGGTGAGCACTACTTGCACACCACATGAACGCATTGCTGTTGCCCGTGCCCCTCGCGGCCGCCAGGGCGGGTGACTACCACACTCGAATGGCGACTTTAAATTTTGTTGAGTATGGGTCCTCGATGTGTCCATTCAGGGGAACGGTGTTCGATGTTATCATGCGAGCAGCGTTGTGTAAGCCGCGAGTCTGTTCCTTCCATGACCGATGTGTAGAGCTGGAACACAATCCCAAAGACGCTGTAATCGTGCAGGGTTGTCGCTGATTCCGTGTGCGGTGGTCGCGCAGACACGTACATCACAACGTCTTCGAAAACGCACATCGGCTGTGTGGCTGGGCTGCCTTGGGCCTCATCTGGGCTTTCATAGTCATATCCGCCACCTACGACCCCTTCACCGGCGATTTCTACACCAACGGCGACCGAATCGTCCGCCGCGTGGACATCTGGTTCGCCGCCGGGCTCACCGTCGTCATCTTTCTGCCGTGGACGCTAATCCGCAGAGTGCCCGTCCGCGCCTCCAGCCCCGACGAGTCCGTGTCGCTCATCACCTTCCCGGACGGACTGCCGGTGGGAGTGCTCGGCCGCATTGCACGCAACCCGTTGAAGGAGTGGCACGCCTTCGGAATCGGCTCGGACGGGTTCTCGAAGAACATTATGATCTGCGGAGCCGTGGGAGATTTCACCAAGCGCCTCGTCACCCACCCGCCCACTCACCTATGGACCAGGACGGTCCGCTTCGCAGGGGTGGCGTATTTGGCCAACATGTACAAGAGGGCTGTGTTCGTGGGAACGGGCTCTGGGCTGGGACCGTTTCTGTCCTTCATCATGCAGCCCAGCAAGGTGGACGTGCACCTCATCTGGATCGCCAAGGATATCCCCAAGGCGTACGGAAGGAAAATTACAAAAATCCTCGACAGGTACGACGGGTCGATCACGCCGTGAATCCTTCCGCTCGGTCGCACATTAACGTTTCTCCGTGCACGCTCTTCCTCTGGTGGCAAACCGAGGTCGTTCGGTGCCGTTTGGCAGCGTTCACAATTGTTCACCAACGTCTATTGTGTCTAACATTCCTTCGTGTGAGCCAGGTATCCGCAGGAGAAGCTGATCGTACATGACACGGCTTTCATGGGACGCCCCAACTTGGTGAAGTTGGTGGTGGACAGGGTGCGCGAGTGCGGAGCGGAGATGGTGATCGTGACGAGCAACCCCGCAGGAAGCAAGAAAGTGATCGACGGCTGTGCAGAGGCAGGGATCCCTGCTTACGGTCCGATCTGGGATTCGTAGACATGCGCGCGGTTGAGACAGCCAGTGCCGATTCTAGGCCATAGTAGGTCGCGATAGATCATAGCGAGAGGCGGCGTTGTTCTCCACGCCGTCAACTGTACGACTAATTCTGCTTCTATTAATTTTAGTTTCAGCGAAATCTAAGCGGAAATTCAAAACCCAACAAGAAAATAAAGAGTACGGGAACGTCACTGGGTCATAGAGGCGGAGCTTGCCAAGCCACCCAGACCCCAGCATCCGGCAGCGACATCCACGATATGAGCGGGGAATTAAGCGGCCCGAAGGATCGAATCGCGTGTAGGAAGAACGTAGGAAGAGTTGGAAGAAGTGGAGCGCGATTGAATCAATTGGCGATTCAGAACCCATCCACGATCTGGTGAGTACTCATGGCATGCGGGAGTCGTCAGATCTACGATGAACTTGATCCAACAAACCACCGTGCGTCATCCGGGGGAGGGGAACTTCAGTATCGACGTAGTTTGTACGACAGACGTCCAACCGAATCATCTATCGGGCTGTAAGAGATCATGCGGTGATTTGTCACTTTTGACGACCGGTTGCGGCGATCGAGTTCAACCTCAACCTGATTCGTCAGCACTGCCGAACGCTTTGTGCTGTTTCTGGTAGTCAGCGGGGGCGTCCTCCTTTCTGAAGGTATCGTAGAGCTAGAGCTGAATGATAAATCCTCGACGGCGAATGCTGTCGGTGATTTACTCCACACCCAGATCTGCCTGGGAAGGAGGAGACCCAATCTGGAGCTGCATTCCACCGGGTGACACCCAGCTTGTGTAGCAACGGATGCAAAACTTCGTGTTTCTATTGGTATATAATAAAAAGACTTGAGGTGCACCTACCACGGAGCACCCAGCTTGTTATGTCGAAAGGCACTATCTAATGACAGTGGAGTCATGTGCGATGTCGGCCGTGCAATCCCGGCCGGGGTGAAGCAATTCAATTATTCTCATATACACTCATTGTTTAACAGAAAGCAAGCCTTTATTTATTTACAGAAAGAAAGCAAACCTCTTTAGTTTGAACTGAACAGCGAACTTCAAGGCGGAATTTTGAAGAACCCTAGATGTAATGAATGTAGAATGTAAATGGATATTTCACCCAACACTCCCACTCATCTGTGAACATTCTACAAAAATTGCTAATCCATCTTCTTCTACTCATTCTTTTAAAATGGTCAAAGTCTAAGAAGGTGATGGAGTCATTCAAACTGATCATGTGGTAATGGTTTGATTAGAATGTCTGCGAGTTGATCATTCATGTGAATGTACTAAAAATCCATCAAGTTTTGCTCATAAATGGCAAAGTACTTCATGTTGACATGCTTAGTGCATTGATGATATTCAAGATTCTTTACAAGGGATTGCAGCTTGATTGTCACAATGAACAACAATCGATTGTTGTTGTGTCATGGCAAGGGATTGGAGAAGTTGGCACAGTCATATAGTTTCTTTTGTAGATTTGGCTAGAAGTATCAATTCTGCAACTATAGTAGAGATGGTCATGTATCTTTGTTTATGGCTGCATTATAGGATGGTGGTAGAACCAAAAGTGTAGAAAAAACCAGTGTAACTTTTCTTATCATCAAAATCACCACCAAAGTTGGCATCTACATAGCCAATTAATCTTGGTATGTTGAAATGAGACTTGTAATAGAGGCCATAGTATTTTGTTTGTTTAAGATATTGCATTACATACTTCACCATTGTCTAGTGATTTTGATGAGGTTTTTCTTGAAATAATGAAACTTTATTTATAGCACCACTTATGTCAAATCTTGTAATAATAGTGGCATAAATAAGAGAGTCGAAAATCAATTGATAGGAGACAAAGTCTTTTGGATTAATAGAGTCTATTGATTTCTATAATTTAGCATGAGTGTCCACAACTATAGATACTTCATGTGTATCATGTAAGTCAAAACAAACAAGTATGTGAATGATGTAGCATTCTTGGTGAAGGAAGATTGAGCCAATAGAGGTACATTATTCCACTTGCAATTCCACAAAATAATCAACAAGGTTGTTTGTTACTTTGAAATTGGTTTTTAGATATTAAAGGATGTCGTGGATATAGTATAGAAGAAGTAATGCAATGATTTTATTGTCAATGTAGATGCCAATTATTATATAGATATCACCATTGTTACAATAAATATAAGAATCAACATTGCTAATGAGTAATTGGAACTGTTTGAAGAAAGCAAAAATATAAATATTCCATTGGCGAGCAAATTGATATAAGTTGTAGATGTTTTTGTTTAAATAACAACAATACAAGGGTTTTTTTGGGTCAACATTACCTTAAGGTTGCATCATATATATTTCTTCCATTAATTCTCTATTGCAAAATGCAGTATTGATATTGAACTGCTAGAGGTGCATGCCTTTTGCAGTAATAATTGCAAAGATAGTTCAAATAGATTCAAAACAAATGACAGGGAAATATGTCTTAGTAAAGTCAACACTAGGTTTTTGTGTAACTAAACATGCTTTATCCTTATCAATTGTGCTATTTGATTTGTATTAAATTTTATAAATCTATTTGTTTTGAATAAGCTTATAGTGTGTTGGTTTCAAAACTAAATCCTATATATTGTTCTTAATTAGTGAATGATAGTCTTGATCCATCATCTCTTTGTATGAAGTAAAATCCATAGAAGAAAGTGCTTCATTATAAGATTGTTGTTTGTCAATTTTTGCTCCAAATGATGGAAGGAATGATTCAAATTTTGATGCAAAAGTAGTTAAATGAGAAGAACTTCTTAATGATGTGATTGCTTCATATGAGATAGAAATTGTAGCCAAAGTGTGGATTATTGGTATAGTAAGTATGAGTTCTTGTACAAACTTGAATTTTGGTTGAAGTTGTTCTTTTATGTTATTTGTGTCAAAGAAATATTGGTGCATTGATTCAAAATAAAGAAATGGGAGGTTAGTATCATAAACAACAAGAACAATCCATAAATAGATTTTTTCTCCTATTCATGAAATATCTCTTAGTATGGATCAATTATCTCCTCTTATTGATTTAATATGTCCTTTCACAAATTGAGTGTATCTGTTGGAATTAAGATTAATGATTAATCAATTCATCTATAATAGCTAAAATAGAATAAATTATTGCACCTTATCAAGAAGACACAATAGTATTTGTTTCACCTCCTTTAACAGAATAAATAATATATACAATAGATTTTTTAACTACTTTTACATGATAATATATAAAATCCTTGAATTCACCAAGTTCTAATATGATATCAAAGCAAAGATTTGAAAAAGTTTTTATAATACAAAACTTAAAAATAAAATAAATAAGACAAGAAAAAAAAAAGCTTTGTAGAAGATATTTTACATAGAAAGTTAGGGCACCAATAAATTTTTTTTTTTTTTTTTCTATCTTCAAAAGAAAAATGGCTTGAAGCAACCTTGCTACAGAGAAGTGGCCTAAGTTTGATGGCTCATGGTACTCCATCTAAAAGAAAAAGATTTTGATGAAGTTTAAAATGAAAAATATGTAGGATGTAGTTTTAGGAAAAAAAATACAACCAACACCAATTTAAGAAGTGGATGTAAGAACAACATCACTAACAACTCATCAAACTAAAATCCTTACTTGGAAAAGAAATGATCATTTTGCTTTAGCAGCATTTTGGGATTCTGTAGAAAATTCAATTTTTTCTCATGTTGGAGCATATAAGGTAGCCAATAAAGCATGGTTGGCCCTTGAAAATACGTACTTTGCAAGTGACATAATCACTCATGTTAAAGCATACAAGATAATTAATGAAGTATGGTTGGCCCTTGAAAATACGTATTTGGAAGTAATATAGTCACTCAAGCCTATGTACAAGAAAAACTCATCACACAAAAGATGAAAATCAACAAATCAGTAACTCAATATATACATATCTTCAAGAATCTTCTTCAACAATGTCATTTTGTAGAAGTCAACTTAACCCCTTAAATGGAAATTCTCACTCTTGTGAGGTCTATGATATCATGGTATGGCAACGTTATCTACACAATAGGGATATCAATACTTCTAAAGTTGATTGTAATCCTCCTTTAAGAAGAAACAACCATGAAAGGCTCTTCTTTTGACTTTTATGTTCTTTTTTTAAGGTACAAAGGAAATACCAAATGATAACTTCACTAAATAACTTAAAAATATTATAAACTTTTCAAACCTTGAAACAAATATATCACTCCCTATTTATAGTGGAAGAAAATGGAGCATTGGAATTCTAAATATTTCAAAAATCAAGTAAGAATTGCTACAAATTTAGTAGTAATAAATCATGGTTCTAAGAAAAAAAATAAATATGGCAATAAGAATCAAAAGAGTAATTACTTTCTACTTTTTATGTGTATATGTACTTTATGTAAGCTTTTTGTTTGAAGAAATTGTTTAAACTTCGAACCGCTCAAGACATACAATGGTACATTGATACTCAAGCTTCACACTACTTAGCACATGTTTTAAATCAATTTATAAATCTCAAACTATTCTTATTTGGTGACAATAAGATCTATCTTAGGCAATGACACAATCCTATTCATCTATACCTAAGGAAAAGTAGAAATTTCAATGATCAATGGCAAAACACTTCATCTATCTAATACCTTAAATGTAGCAAATGTATATAAAAATTTGTTCTCCATCTCTAATTATAATCTTGAAGGAGGGGATATTTTAATTAAAAAATGAATGTGTCAGCTTCTTGTTTAAGACAACACCATTCTAGTATCATTCCTTCTTCAATCTAATCTATATTTACTTAGGTCAACACAATTACAATAGCAACAGGTGGACACACATACCATTGACTATTTGAGAGCTCTATCGCATCTACGACAACTTTTCTTGTCCATTTTATAATTTTCTATTGAAGGCACCTCAACTCTTAATGCTAAAATTGCCAATGCTCATATAGCTTCCTTGTGTGACTACTTCCACTCTATTGATATATAATCACTCTATACCACATTGGCCATCAATAACACTCCCATCTTCACCAACAAAGCTTCCCACTATTGTGAATAATAATGACTACTAGATATTACAATACTCTCTAGCAATGCCTCCCACTATTATATACAACCTTGAATGCTAGACACTCGACTTAGATCCTTCTTTTGCATAAAACATTCATGGCTTACAATTATCCTTGCTAGTCTTACCACTCATTGCTATTATCAACAATGTACCTATGATGCCAATTCAACATGGTACCTTGAAGTATTAGTCCCATGCACTCATTCCATAGCTGCCCATATTGAACACTGTTCCAATCTTCTTTGTTTAATCCGAGTACTCTCGCCCTACTCCACTATTGACTCTATTTCAACACAAGGCATCTTTCTTTGTTGTTCCTCTTCCGAGCCTATAATCAGCTTTATGGCATTGCCAGCTTGGTCACCCCAACAATGATTGTTTTAAGCAGCTTGTCCATACATCAATCATTATAAAATTACCTCTAAAAACAATATTGAATCATATTTGCTCAACATGGTTTTATAGCAGACAAGCTTCTACAAAATTCTCAAAACAAGTTAGTATGTATACAACTTAGCTTCTCAAACTAATTCACTTTGACATCAATGGCCACATAGTCACACCTACATTCTTTGGCTACAGATACTATATAACATTCATGGACGATTTTTCTAGATATACAATGCTTTAACTCCTATAATGAAAAAATGAATGCCTACATATATTCAAAATCTTCTACACATGGACTAAAAATCAAACTAGCTATAAAATTTGTTCTTTTGATTCAAATCAAGGAGAAGAGTACCTTTCCTTTGAATTCAATCAATACTTAGAAACACATGGCATTCAAGGTTAACTTACCACAACTTATAACCCTAGCGGTTCTTCTTCTGCTACAGCTCCACATGAACATGTTTCCCCTGTTGCTCCACACCTGCATCTTTCTTATGCTCAACCTTCAATTTCTATTAAAGTTGCACCATCAAAGCCTACATGCATTGTGTCTTAGACAATGCAATCTAGCCCTACATGCATTGTGTCTTTGACAATGCAATCTAGCCCGCTGCCTCCACCTCAAGCACTTGGCCCTTCTTTGGTCCTAGACATCCCAACTTTTGGATCGGCAACCGTCCAAGTTGTGCTTCCTTTGGAGTCAAGTTTGGTACCTATGCAGTCCCAACATGAGCAAACACTCCTTGCACTAGACACCCTACCTGTGGCCCCGTTCGCAGCGAGCGCTCCATCACTATCTCGACCCTTTCTGCGACGTGCAGTCATGTCCTCCACCAGCCTAGCCCTCATGCCACATTTGGGGCATCATGTTCATGCTCATGATTCTGAACATGAGGCTTTTATATTTGACTTGTCCGCGACCAGTACTCCTCCTGTGTCCATCTGACAGTCTGCTCGCCTCAACAAGGGTGTACCCCTTCTATGAGATCCCTCCAAGAACTATAACCCAAACTCACTTCGCCTGCAACCTCCTTCAACTTGTTCTTCTCGTTCGAAGCACGCTCTACTCACCGTTGCTTTGGTGCCCTCAGAACCTGCCTCCTATGTCTAGTCGATGCGGTCTTCCGAAAGCTCTCACTAGCAGTCCGCCATAGCCGAAGAACTGAACTTCCATGCGGTTAATGGCACCTGGACATTCACCGATCTCCCTACATATCGCAAACCGATCACGTGTAAGTGGATCTTTAAATTAAAACTGAACAGCCACGGCAATGTGGATCGCTACAAGACGCGCCTCGTGGCCCAAGGATTCAATCAAGTCTAGGGCTCAGATTACCATGAAACCTTTTCCCAGATTGTGCGGATCCAATCGATCCGCCTTATACTTGCCCTTGCCGCCTAGTTGAATCTTCATGTGCATCAAATGGACGTGAAGACGGCCTTTCACAATGGGATCTTGCACGAAGAAATATACATGCGAGTCTCGGAGGATTTATCTCTCTCCTGCCCCGGCATGGTGTGCAGACTGCGTAAAACCCTACATGGGTTGAAGTAGTCCCCTCTGGAATGGTTCAAAATCATCAACCAATTCCTCTTCATCCTCGACTTCACCAACTCGGCAGCGGATGGAAATGTTTACTACTTACAACAAGGAGTGGATTTTGCGGTGCTCACCCTTTACGTTGACGATACCCTAATCGCAGCAAACAATCTCCCGCTGCTTCATACGATAAAATCTCAACTTCATGTGCAGTTCTTGCTGTCCGATATCGGCAAGGTTCATCACCTCTTAAGCTTGCAGGTAACCTGCGATCTTGACCACGGTTGGCTATGTATTACTCAGGCCCTATACATTCAACAAAAGCTTGCGAAATTCAGATTCTTGGATTTGAACCTTGTTTTGACTCCGATGGCTTCCGGGACGCATCTCTCAACAATCGACTGTCCCATCACTCCTATCGAGAAAGAACTCTGTGCAGTGTTTCTTTATGCAAACGCGGTTAATTCATTAAATTGGGCCAACCTGTGTACTTGCTCGAATATCTCCTTCTCAATCAGTGTCCTCACCCAATACATGCATATTCCCGAAAATGCCCATATATGTGCTTGTAAACACACATTTTGTTACCTTCGCAGCACGATTGGATTGTAGTTAGAATATTGCACATCTTCCTCTATTCCGCGCTTCCTTCACGGCTTCAGTGATGCCGACTAGGTAGGTGAGATTGATGAATGCCGTTCTACTTCTAGTTACGTCTTCCTGCTCTCCCATGGCGCCATCAGTTGAAGCTCCACGCGTCAGAAATCCACTACTTTATCGAGCACCAAAGCCAAATACGTCGCCATAGCTAAGACGGCATCCGAGCTTGTGTAGTTCATGACCTCCACTACGCCAAAATCCTAAAACAACCTATCTTCATTTACTGCAACAATCAATCCGCCCTAGCACTTGTGGACACAACCAAGTTCCATTCTTGAACAAAGCATATTTCTATACACTACCACTTTATACTACAATTTGCAGCTCACAACAAAGTCATGTTTCAATACTCCCAATTCAGACTATGTGCACCTAAATTCTTACAAAATCACTCTCTAGACCAAAGCTTGCCCAATACTTACCCTTGCTTGACTTGCTTTGAAGAGAAACCCCACCTTAGTGATGATTTGATTAAACAATCATGTTAGAATGAAGATTAAAGATTAACCAATTCATCAATAATAGCTAGAATAAAATGAATTATTGCCTGTTGTTAAGGAGGTGTGATAGTATTGTTGCACCTCTCTTGATAGGATAAACAATATACACAATAGGTTTGTCAAGTGATGTAATTGTTGTTTAAGAATTTGTCAAAAGTTGTATTACAAATGTTGCAACCATGATTTGCGTGCAATACTAGCACATTATGTCCAATGCTTAGTTTAACAATTTTAACAACTTGTTGAAAGAAAAGTAAGGCCTTCAATTTTTATTTGGCAAAGTATACAAATTGGTGTGTGGTAGTATTGTCTTTGTACAAAATATAATGAAATGATTCATTAGGTGATGATGTATTTTTTTTCTTGCTTTATACATCTCTATGAATCAATTGTTCTAGAAATATATTGCACTCCTTATCTAGAGCATATTTGTATGAAGATTTTTTTTTTTCATCTTTCATACAACCTTCACATGGATGTAGAAGGGAGTCGGTTGTATGAAGTGTGAAATTACATAAAGTTCTTTGATAAGGTATGTGAAGAGGAATATGAAGAAGCTTGTATAAGAGAATAATCTAAATGCTTAGTTAATAAAGCTTGCTTGATCTGCTGCCTTTTAGAACTACTTTTCCTAATATTTTTTGAAATTCACAATGACCAAGGTAAGTTATGAATAAGAGATTATATTTTGAAACAAAGACAATTAAAAAATAATTTTTGTTTAAGTTGCAATATATAAAACACATTTTGAATGACTTCTAGCTAGAATATCCAATCAATAAGATATCTAATTCAAATAGATCTTCAACCTCAAATCCATAATTTGTATGATCAATAATTTATATGGTATGAATGCCTTCAAATATATGTTCTATTGATGAAAATCAATTATAATAATTTTTCATATGCTTGCTTATTCTACTATCAATATACCACATATCTATTGTAGTTTTAGTAGTATATATGTGGTTGTTAAGATGAATATTAACAACAAATGTAAAATTATTATTGGAAGTAAAACAAGAGTCATTATCAAAAGTAGTAGATATGCACAAGCTTTCAATAATATTTCCATTATTCATGCCTCTATCTATCCTTTGTGGATCTTTTCGATATATCTATTTTTTCTTTGGATTAGTACAATTAGCCAACTAATGTCCAATTTTGTGATAATTATAGTATTTTTTTTGTACTTTGAGATTATGTATGTATGTAATATTATTTTGTTCTTGCTCTTATTTTATTAAGAAGTCTATTTGATAGAATATTTGAACAAATAAAGAAGGCTTGATCAACATCAGTTTTAATACCTCTTTGGCACTAAAGAAGGCTTTCATATTGTAAAAGTCTCTCTTTAAGGTGATCAATGGTGTGTTCATGTTTGGGGACATTCAACCATGGTGCAATAATACTATTAAAATTAGGAGGTAAATTATAAATGATCTTTGATATAATCATCTTTTCAAATACAGTGTTTCTTAAAACAATAAGAATCATTATTGTATTTGTGATGTTTTGAATATGTATTGGAATATCATCTAATAATTATATTTTGTAACTAACAAACTCGTCCTAAAAAATAAAATTATTTTTAGGAATTTTCTTGAGGTACAAAGAACATAGCTTATTTCACATCAAAGTAGCAATCGAACATATAGTGAGCTTATTAAATATTTTTTGAGAAATAGAATCATTGATGAACATCCTTGCATTGGCATTCTTTTTGTCACATACACTCATTGTATAACAGAAAGCAAGCCTTTATTTATTTACACAAGATGTATAATAGCTTAGAGTCAATTCTCTAGTGACAAACAAATTGGCACTCTCTAATTATCGTCTCTTCAAGACTCTAGTTTGAATGGCACAATGAACTTCAAAAAATAGGCAGGAGTTTGAAGAACCCTAAATGTAACGAATGTAGAACGTAAATGGATGTTTCATCCAACACGGGGCTAAAGCCTCCTTCATCATTTGGGGGATGTGGAGCCACAGACTCTCTGCTTGCGAGGATCCACCTACGAGACCTTCTGGTGTTGGTAGAGGACCCCAGGGAACCGCTGTCGAGTTGCACTCAAGGCGGAAAATCCATGGGGACCTCCGCTCCGTAGCACCCGGGCCGCTCCAGCGCGCCTTCCCTCCCCTCTCGTTTCGTGGCCTTCCATTGCTTGTGTACAAAGCCTGAAATTGCAGGGATACCTTAGAAGGTCTTCCTGACATAGAATGCGATGCGGAGCAGGAGCATGCTGCACAGAAAGAGAGCGGTAGATTGTTGCAATCAGCGTTCAATCACGCCGTCCAAAGAGGAACATGAACCACCGAAACCACTCGCTGTGTGGTCGCCACCGAGAAACACTCACATTCGCTCACACGACAGAAGAGTTGGGGAGTTCCAAATGCGATGTCAAAGATCATAATTGTGAGCCACATGTGAAGGAAACATTCATTCCAATTGTGTCGAGATTTTATGCTCCAACAGTGCTTTCTCAACCGTCTCGGATTGAGTCTCTTTAAACCAACGTTCTCATCTATCGATATCGCAGAACTTTTACCCGGCTTGCTTGCACTCTGACCTTTCACTCCATCCGCCCATCCTTGTGTCTCGATGGCGATGGATGCCGGGTACCTGTCTCACATTATGTGGGCAAAATTATGTGTCTTCAAACATTTGCCGTGGTAGGTGTTTAAAATGAAGGGTTTCGGACTGCACAAAACTATATGAATATCTTGTTTCGGTAATTTATCCATATGTAACCATATTCAACAACGTATGAAGTTGATTTGCATAAAATTATTTTATGATTGAATACCCAAAATTTGGCAAGTATTGCAGCATCACAGTACTCAACACACCAATATTGTGGATTCAGAATTGATTCAATGGAATGAATCCATGACGAAACACATTGAATTGCTGGGTTCATTGTTGATTTAGTGTTTTATTCACATGGTGTGAAGCTCGACCACCACTCCAACTACCAAGTACCAAAGCTTTGAATACTGTCCAAGAGCTTTAGTTCAGACCACCAGTTTAGAGGGAAAAGCTTTATAAATAATTAAGAAATAAAAATTAAAAAACTTCTGTTCAAACCAATAGTGCCATAGTGAAGAGGACCATTGCATTCACACACATCACAAAAGGCACATTGAGCATAGGAATGGAGACCTACATGGACAGCTGAAAACATTGAAATTGAGACACTTTTGATAATACAAAATAAAAGAGTTGCATATAACAAAATTTACTCATGTTCGAATTTACTTGATTCATAAAGGCTTTATAAGACCCCTTCAACATGAAATGTACTAGGAATTGAGTAGATAAGATGGATCAATATTTGAGGAGCAAAGACAAAGAATGTAGTGCACATGTTAGAATTTTATAATATTTGTTTGAATAATTGATGCCACTTTTGAATATGCAATAGGTAGTTTTCACTCATATATATCAATTTTAGACTCCCCATTTGATATCAATGCATCAATTGATCTTTGTATAAAATTCTTTTGATATTGTTCTTTGTATAAAATCTTTGTCTTGATCTTTCTATAAAACACTTTTGAATATACAATTAGCTATATTAATTGATCCATTCTCAATCCAAATTTGCTAAAAAATCTACAATTGAAGTTATATTTTTGGTAGATATGGACCTTGTACATAATCAATCAAGTTCATTTTTGTACATAACAAATCAAATCTTCATCCTTGTATATAATCAATTAAGTTCATCCTTATATATAATCAGTCAAATGCAAAAGATTCCATTATATTAAATCTATTAGATCATAGTATGGAGACTTTAAGTCTTCTATTCAATCTATTCATCTATCTCCATTGTGATTTTTGGATGCAAGTTTCTTCCTACATACAAAAGGGCATTGTAATTCCACTTGCAATGACAAGAAGGCCTCCATATTTCTAGTTCTTACAAGTTGGTGAAAAAGCTCCCACTATCTCAATTTACAATAATAAAAAAAAAAATTTCCTTACAATGATTAGAAAGCTTATTTGTTGTCAAGGACATAAATCTCTAAGAAAGAAATCCTCAATATTCTCTTATAATATTGAAAAGAACTAAAAATTCACTCTAAGATGATATATTATTGCACTAGAATGGCTATTGCCAAAGACACAAAGGCTAAAAAGTCTTAAAATAAGACTAAGGACTAAAAAGATATTCACAAGAGTAAAGAAGGCTTCACTTTTGCATGTATATATACTCTTAAGTAGGAGCTACATAGCAATGTCTTATAAGACCTCTAAAATGTATTGACTTTGTAAGACATATATCTTAACTTGCAAGACGAGTTTTCTATATGTGTGCCACATAGTTAACTTGTTTTGTAAGCTACCAACACATGGTTAATTTGTTGACCAAGTGTTTAAGCTATCAATCAACTACAAACATATGTAAAGTTAAAACAACATATGTGAAGATTCTAAGAAGCTTCTCTAGAAAGTTTTATGAAATTTATCTAATTTTATGAACTTTTACCTACTTCTATCTAACTATATAGGTATTTATTAAAGTACCTATGTATATTTGTGATATTACCTCCCTTTCTAGAGATGAATTTCTTAAGGAGAGGTCTTCATATGTTGAAAAAATCTAAGATGCAACAAATTGTATTTGCCACATATTTTGATCTTTATTTTTTTTGAAGATAGTTGATAGGTCATTTCAACCATTGATAGTATTCCATACCAAGGCAAAAAGACCACCTTGTTATTTGATTGTTGTTGAGACCTTCATAACTTCTTTCAAATAAAATATTTGAAACACCATCATGAATTATTCCTACCTCTAATAAAATCACCAAATATTGGGA